TTATCGGTGTTTAAAGGACCATCTTATGAACAATGCTCTTGAGTCCTAAATCATTAAAAAGTTATCTTAGAGGGGAATCCGGCAGAATAAACAGTTGATATTATACTAGGATGACCTAGAAAGTCAAATAGCCGACTAACGAGTTTTGCCTCAATCGTGTTTTCAAAAATGACTGAGCTTTATGCACGACGCCTTTGATTCCTTTGAGTGTGACTAAATTTTGTGGCAAAATTCGCAAGTCGCAGTCGATACACCATCTTAATTTTGGTAATGTAAAAATTCAATAAAGATCTAAATTTGCTTCATTCAATGGCTACAACCGATTTAAGTAACAATGCGAGTAAGAACTGTACAACTCTCTATTGTTCTGCGGCAATTGCAACTTCCCCACATACGAATGTCTTGGTTTTCACACTGATTATATATCAACCTATGGGTAACACAAAGTTTCTTTTGGATTAAAAGCTCTTGTCCAATCATAAGCACTCAAAACAATAGCCAAAATATGCTTCAATTTTGCTATATTTCCCACATAGAATTGCTATTAATAATGAAGCTTAGGAAATTTTTCAAGAAGTAAAAAATGCGCTAAATTGTGAATTTATGTCAGATTTTTTTAAAATAATTGAAACTTTTATTAAAATGTTTTAACCAATGGGATGGATGGATTATACAATACACAATTAGCACCTTCATGCATTCCATTGCCGTTTGCTTCCCTAGTTCTTACTCGGACCATTACTTATAATGCATAAGAACGATTTTCAAATAATGCATTTCAAAATGTCATTGCCATCGAGTAAAAAAGTTCATTTTTGTTTTAGCTCCCGTGAAACTGTTGTGGCTACGGCCCATTTTTATCCTTTTTACAGTGATTTTCCAGTAATTAACATTGTGATTTTTCTAGGTCAGTGTTTATGTGATAACCAYACCTATTACTATCGGGTATCAGCGGTTATCACCAATTGGAACTTCACAGAAGAGTTGGCCGATCCTAACTCCACCGAACGAACAAAGATGACATCAGAAATATTCAATGGAGTAAGTTACTGTGATGCGTGGCGTGATATCTTACAGTTAGCAGCATATCAAACAATACTCCAGTTTCGAATTCATAGCGAATAACCGCTGCTTTATTTGACAACAGATTCTCTTGCGCAAAGACTTTACAAACACAAAAGAGAGCACGAGAAAATGTCGTTATTACAATAGAGTTGAGATTATCCCTGTATTCCCATAAGACCTAAGGTATGAGCAGGGTTAGCCTCAACTCGGAGAAAATGTAGATTCTTAGCGCTCTATTGTATTAACAACATTTCCTCGTGCTTTCTTTTGTCTTTGGTAAGTTCTTTGCGTAATAGAATCTGCTGTCAAGTAAAACAGCGGTTATTCGCTTTGAATTAGAAACTGGAGTATTGCTTTGAATATTTTGTTCTTTTGTACTCTTTTGCATTTATTTTGAGGTCGAATCAGTCAAGAT